TATAGGTAAGTTCTAGGTTGTATGAGAGAGATTGGTCATGTGGGTTTAGCAAGTCGGAATCGGATCCCCAAAAACTGAAGCTGCTTAGCAATGATCATGGGCCATTGAAATTTAATTCAACGGCTACAAACAAGGACCCCCTAAAAGTTATAATAATTGTAACCGTTTGATCAAACTTCAACGGCCCTAATTTATTGCTCAGAATCCTCAGTTTTTGGGGATCCGGAGAGGATCCGGTTCCTAGCAAGTCAGTCAGTCAATTTCCATGAGTACTAATGCTAATCCAGAGAAATGAGAAACAAATGGGAGAGGGAAAGGCCACCGTTATGATGTTCCAACTACTCCATAAACATATTACACAGAGAGAGCATGTTAAACATTGAGAAAAGCAAACCTGCCTCAATCATCAGAGCTATATTCACTCGATTCTTCAGGAAGAACGGCGACAGCACCGCAGCAAAACAACTCTTTATCCTTCAGGAGAAGACAGCTTCCATCCGAATTCCATTTCAGATCAACTATGCTAAACTGTGGTTGCGGTGGGATGCTCACGCAATAGGCACCACCAGGAGTCCACATGTACAGATGAGAACTTCCAGTGCAAACAAGAAGACGTGTGCACGTAGGATCCCAAACTGCTGCACGAATAGGATCTTTCTGCACCATGATAGCAGCGAGTTCAAGATGGCGTATGTCCCATATCCAGAGAATGCTTGGCATGCTATCGTTGCGAGTACAAATATATTGGCTATCGTTGCTCCATGACATTAGACCTACAGCAAAACCTATAGCTTTAGCCATATGTTCATACAATGAACTCTTGAACAATTTCGAGGTAGCATCTAAGGGATATCACGTCCATTATTCAAACAAAATCCCTCACTAATACGTTGAAAGTGCATCTAAACTTTACATTCCTGCGTACAAGTATATTATATTAGAACAGCTTGACTCAGTAAAAACGAAACCCTGTTCATCATTGGAAGAAGTTTGCTACCTACAAGGCTGATAGTACCTTCCACATCAAGATCATCTATCCTCCAATCCGTTAAAATATTTCAATGAATAAAACTGTTGTTACACAAAGTCAATGAATAAAGGAAGCTGACACTGCTATCCGCTAGTGAGGTTTCTATATTATTCAAGGTTAGTGGGAATATCCCATATAGTCAATATTTGACTCTAATATCGACAGACTTGTTACCACAACTTCAAGTTCCTCAACTTGCAGGATTTGTCCAGAAGTATGAATTGACTCAACCATTTGATGACCTCTGTTGAGGACATTGAATGTTATCTGATGGCTAGGCCAATGTGTTTATGAACCCTCAGCCATCTAAGTGCATCTTGTCTTGTCTGATGTAAAGTAGCTAAAACGTAAACCAGTTTGATTGTCTTCATACTTGACTGTTTACAAACTTTGTGTTCATTTGCATCAGACAGTACAAGAGGGAGAAAGGGCTTACCAATTCCTTGTTTGGGGTTAGGTTTGTCTGCAGGAGGCTTCTGGAAAGGCAAACTGATGGGCACTTCTGTAACCTCGTATCTAACTCTGACTTGTCCTTCCGAAGCATCTACTTGAAATGAAACAAAAATTATGGGGGGAAAAGAAAAGGGGATTGAATCAAATAAGTTTTGCATATTAACAGAAGGATCTGTGATTCTCCAGCCAAAAGCCGTAATTTATGTATCATGCAAAAGATGGCCAATGTGATACAATGGCAAGCCACTCTTTGAATTTTGCTTTGCAAGAGTAAAATTTAAGGATGTGGCACTGTTACGTTATTTTCTTAGAATAAAATGATTCATCGAAGCTTATATTGATCTTACGTTATTAAAATTTTACCGTCATCCATCAACAGGTTAAAAGGTGAATGGAAGAATAAGTTATTCTGTGAGCTTTGAATACAAGTTAGTTCAAAAGGCAGAAATGAAATCTAGTAGATACAAAAACATACCAACAACAGGAAAAGAAATCTGACCTAGCATACAAATGATACAGCATATTATTTTTGTACTCTGATCACCTTTTATAAGTTAAAAAATAACTGTATTAACATGGAAACATCATGCTTACCGTTATTGCCTTCTGCAAAATCATCATTTAAAGTTAGCTCGGACATATCAAGTAGCAGTGGCTCATCTACTTCCTGACATTTAGACATCATGGGGTGAGCAATCATCCAACACACTAAAAGAACATGATATCTCGCTATCTCAAATATTAACAAGCAATAACCTTAAACACGGCCGCACAACAGGGAGCACGGACAGTAGATAGATGCATAAATTCAGCAAAAGTCTTCCAAGTCAAGTGATTTAAAACCCGCAACATCTGGTCATAACTACCCACTGCTAGAAACTGGCCACACGGAGACCATGAAACACTTTTTACACCCAAAGCACTTTCATATGCTTGATACTTATACAGACACCTCCCATCTGGGGAGTATATCAGAACCTGCATCAAACCGCACCATGAGATGTTTCAAACTAAAACATTATATAATTACTGCAAATCTTTTTGCCATAACAAAGAAAAAAAAACCGAAGTTCTCACCTTATATTCGAGAGGCGAATCCCATATCACTATTGCACTGTCATCTGGTGACCATTCAGTATCAGCCAAGTCCAAAGTGTCCACAGCAAATACACCCATTATTTCCCATGTATGACAGGACAGAAGATTAATATAGTCCTTGCAATCACGCCTTGTGCAAATTGCAGCAAATTGCCTATCTTTGGTGAACGAAACTCCCTTGGAAGGATGCTTTGGCCATTGCACATGTACACATGCTGTGTTTAACAGTGACCAAACTGTTAACCGCAGTTGAAAGTCTGATGTGGTAAGTATGTGACGGCTATCTGGGCTCCACCTAGCATAGGCAATACCGGCAGGACCTTCATCTATCTTACATGTCCATTCAGGTTGGGCCAGCGACCATGCTTGTATCATTGGTCTTTTAAATAGACCACAAAGAATGTATTCAGAATCAAGCGCCCATTCAATGTAGCTTATCTTATCCAAACATGAGAACAACTGCACAACCTGGATTAGAAATGACATTTAATTATATATCAGACAACTTACCTTCAAGATATATGAAATGGAGTTCAGCAATTCAAACTTTAAGTCAGACAATAGATGTTGCACAACAGCGCTGAATGTGAAGCATGCAGAAACCTGTTTAAACCATTGTTCGCTACAGCTTATGTTCAAACGCTTGAGGGTATATTTCTGCCTCCAAAAAGTCCAGAACCTTGTAACTGCTCATGAGCCCTACCGTACAATTTTGTCCACGGTAAAAGAGTGATCAGAACGGAGCATTATTCTATGGATTAGTTCACCTCTAATTAGGGTTGAATCCTTCGATCTGTATAAACTCTCTAGGTGTAAGAAACACTGAAATCATTTTCCTCATATTTTCCGATTTACTTTTTAAGAACCTCAACGGAAACATGCCGCATGAACTCACTCAAGTTTTGATGTTCTCTCCAAAATTCGCTTTGAATCGCTTGGCGAAAAACTCAGACTGCAACTACGGTGATCAGATCATCGGCATTAAATTAAGTTTCCCTTAAAATGAAGAAACAAAATTAAGATTTTTTTACTAATTTCTCAGCAACCAAGCAAATTACAGCATACTGAAGCTACAACACTACGTCTTGTTTGTCAACAGCTAAATGCAACGGCTGAGATCTACAGAAACTTAACCATGTACGTGCCAAACCCAATCGGCCCAGCTCAATTGTGCACCATATGATTGCTTTTGAAAATGCAGAGATATAAGTGATAAATGAACGAATTAGGACATTTGGACCATCATTTTCCTGGCATTTTTTCGGTAACCAAACAGAGCATGAAATAAATTTATTAAATTACAAAAAAGAAGCAAATTCGATAGCAGCATACCTTAAAGGAAAGAGTGTCGCGAATGACGAGGCGGTAGTCGACGGCGACGGCAATGTAGCGAGCATTAGGTGAGAAGCAACAAGGACCGGTCTGCTTGTAAGCCTCTGTGAACTCCATTCACATTCAGATCAAATTTCCGGACCACAGCACTCCCTGCTAGCTTATATTTCAAGTGTAGGTCCTCATATTAGCTGTGAAATTTAGTAATGCAGCGGTTGCGGTGGCGGTGGTTGCTATTACTGTTGCTGTTGCCGTTGCTGGAGAGCGTTTGGCTGAGTGGATGAGATCTGCGAGGCTTCGTTTTGGAGTGAAATGTTGGAAGTTCGAATTTGTACTGGCAAAAGTCGATCGTGAAAATGTTGGGATTTTGGGTTTGAATTTCGAACGGACGATTGAGGGAGGGGCCGGGGATTGGGAATTCTGAAAAAAGATGGCATAAAAAAAAAAAAAAAAACTAATGAAAATGGTTAATGATAAGCAGAAAATAAAAGTAAAATGAATAGCATATTATTGACTTTTTAATGTTAAAATATGGTTTTTCGTTAAAGTGAACAGTACCGGGTGCTTTTCGTTAAAGTTCCCTAAAAAAAATGTTGGGATTTTTTTTTTTGTGTTTGGTAAACATTTAGTTCAGCTTTTTTTCACAGTTTTAGATGAAAAAAAGCCAAAAACAAGAAGCTGCAAAACCCAACTTTGAAAAACCGGCTTTTTTTACATCTATTTTACATAAAAGTTTACCAAATATTATAATACTGCTTTTTTTTTTCAAAAGCATTTTTCCAAAAAAGTTTATCAAACACTCTACAGCTTTATTTCATAACCGCTTATTCTCACAGCTAAGCAGAAACAACTTTTATTTAAAGCACATCAATACTAAACCAGCCCGAAGTTAGTCGCCCAAAGTGTTATTTTTATTTTTTTGCTGGCTTTGGCGCTTAGGACCTGTTTTGTGGGAAGCATCATTGGAATTTGGAAATATAATGAGCATGTGGTCGGCCCATTGGGCTTATTCGATGGAATCGGATACAGGCCTTCAACAATAACAGCATAAGCCCTTTCTAATTGGAAGAAAAAAGAGAGAGAAAAAAATAAAAAAAATAAAAAAAATAAAAAAGAAAAGAAAGGAGGAAAGAGAACATGGGGTTCGCCGGACTTCCACACATACGCAGTCGCGGCCGTTAGTTTTTTTAACTACGCGCGCTCCTCCTTCCCGGTCTGTTTCTCATTCGCGCACTCCTCTGTAGGGTTTTGGACTCGCAAAACTCTCAAGCATTTCCATCAACTGCAACTCAAAACCTTTCAAATTTCAATCTAAGGTACCTGCACTTTTCCTTGTCAACTGATTTTTCAAACTGATTTGTGTTTGTTTTCTGTTTGGTTCCCGAGAAAATATTGATTCTGTAATTCTTGTTATTTGGGTTGATTAATGTGTTTAAGATGAACATCTGTATGGTGTTGTTGTGCCCCGTATGTGTTTGAAGAAATGTCTCTGTGAATCCAACAGGGAGCTCGAGATGCTGCCGAGATGGAGCAGAGCTGTTGCTCAGCTCTCGAGGTTGGGTACGCAGCAGAACCTGAATCTCAGAAACGAATTCTATGTTGTTTCGCGCCAAAGCTATGCCAGGGCTGCTGCGGTGGCTCCGGATACGGCTTTTACAGTGGAAAAACCTCTCCCTGCCGAGCCAGTGGTACGATTTGCAGCTACCCTTTTGGTTTTAGTAATCAAGCTTGCTTATTTAAGTAATTATTGGTTGTAATTTGAAATGGGATTGATGGTTTTCTTGTTAATGGGCATAGATTATCCTGAAATTAAATCACTAATGGCGAACCTGTTTTCTCGTGATCGTGTATCTGTGGTTATGTTTGCATATTTTTATTGTTTTAAGGTTTCTGGAATTATTTCATTGTTGAGACTTTGGGTAACAATGTTGGACAGGTAAATTTGGACAAACTGTTTTGGTCTAAGCCCTCCTCATTGGCTTTGGCCCCGGACTCCCCATTGAGAATTGATGAGCCACAATATGGGAGGTTCAGGCGTGCGATTCTTACGATGTTGCTGTTTTATAGCAAACAAAGCAAGTCTATTCGAGGGGCCAATGTTGTGTATAAGCGAATTGTTTCACAAGTTGATAAACCGGGCATATATGAAGGTCATTTCTTCCTCTCAATTTATTTTCTCCTAGTCGTTTATGATTAGAGGAGGTGGTTTAATTTTCAAATGAGCATAAGTTTGAAGGGGGAATGGGCTATCTTTTGTGGAAGCATTTTTTTGTAGCCAAAAAAGGATGTATTTGGTTTTCCGCATTTGTGCAGTAACACCTCCACATCATGTAATCAATGTAACAGAATCAACCATTTTATCTTATTCATTTTTAAATTATTCTCACCTTTTGTACAAGATGAGATTTTTCTATTTTTTTTTTTTACTCAGGAAACTGTCTATGTGTGTTAGGAAACTTTACTTGAAATAACATCACTTACATAGCTCTCTGTAGGAACTAAACTGTTCTCCTAAATATGCAGTATTCAATTTGGAGAAAACCTTTAAGACAACATTCTCTCTACTTGTACTTCATATGTGGCTTTGCTTACGCCGGTTGAAAGAAGAGGGAAAGGATGGTGTTGAATTCGGGCAATATATGTATGAGATTTACAATCATGATGTGGAACTTAGAGTATCTAAGGCTGGGGTATGTTCCCTTCTGTTAAACTTAAATATTCTGCTTTGAACTTAATATTGACAGTTTAGTTATTTTTCGTGAGGTTTTTCTATATCAAATCGAGTTCATCCGTCTTTGAAAAGAACTCAATAAGCTGTTGCTAATATCCTTTCCTTATGTTATACTATTCAACGCCCTTAGGTTTGAACTACTGTCAATATGCTTGCTATGCCATATGCGTTTATCATTTTTAGGGTGTCCTACCATTGAACCTGGGGTTGCTTACACCTTCCACGACTTATAGAACTTCTTCTCAGTTATGAAATTGATCCGTCGACACTTGAGGCACATGATAATGTTATCCAGTACTGTTTGGAGTGCTCAATTTTCAAATACATACATGTGTAAATAGCTATATCCAGTACTGTTTAACATCTTTGACGATACATACTTGTGCTTCTGTGCACATTTTCTAATTACTTGGCTCAGTCAACATACGTGGAGGCTAATAATATTTGAGACTTAAGCATTAGGAGAGCGTAGGATTTACCGTTAAGCATGCTGATTGATTAATTTACCCTTGAAATCTCAGGTCAACTTACTACTGTCTAGATGGATGAAGGATTTGGAGAAGATATTCTATGGAAATATTGTTGCTTATGATGCTGCCGTGCTTCCAGAGGCTAAACTGGATGATCTCCAAAATGTGATATGGAGGTAAATACATCATCAACCTTCCCGAGCCCCAACATTAAAATTATCAAACATTTAATCATGGGATACATATTAACCTTCTGCACTGATGTGCAGGAATGTCTTTTCCGACGATGGTTCATCACAACCAACTGGAGATGCATCACGAGCAGTCCAGGCATGTTCTCTTCCTTGACTGGCACACTTTCAATAGCGCTTAGCATTAACTAATAACTCTCCCATATGGTGCATGGAGTTAAAATGAAAGTTTGTGTACATGCAGGCAATGGCAAGATACATTCGCCGGGAACTTTGTTGCCTGTCCTTAACAGGTATTCCTTGTTTGTTCTATGTGTTTCCTGTTCCGCAATCGGTATTTCTGATGTTGTTAATTTGTTTCCCTTGAGATTGCACAAAAACTCTCATCTCTTGACGAGATATAACGTTATAACGTTGTAATTCGGATGTGCAGATAAAGAAGCTATGTTTTCTGGTAATTTCATGTTTACTCCACTGAAGGGCGAGAAAATGAAACCGGAGGCCTCCAAATGAGAATCCATCTACTCACTTTCAAGTTTCTGTCGTTTTGGAAGAAAAAATTTCACTCCAATCATAGACATGTAAAAACGATCACAATAAAATATTTTGTAAAATTATCAAAAGTAACTTTTTTTTTTGTTTTTATGTATTTTTTCTTGAAACTGCAATTCAATAATACAAAAGGAGAGGCTGTGGCGCTTTTGCTCTGGTTTTTCGAACACTTGGGAGCAGCCTTTCCATAAATGGGGGTAAGGCTAGCCGACATTCACCTCTCCCAGACCCTGCGTAAAGCGGGAGCCTTGTGCACTGGGTACGACCTTTTTCCAACCAGGATTACGTAATGTTACTATTTTACGTGTTATAATATGAGTGTATGGTAATGTTAATAAGTCTCACTAAAGTATAATTTAAGCAAAGTAACACAATAGTGGTGTTTCAGGTATACCAAAAAACTTCTAAACAGCACAATTAAGCTACGAAATGTCATGAAACACCTTTTCCTTTTGGCTACTATTATTGGTACTTCGAAAATTTAATTATGTACTTCTCGAGTTTTTTTTTTTTTTTTTTTTTAAATATAAAAAATTTGAAAGGCACAATTAAATTTTTGAAATGTCAATTAACAATTCTCTTGCTCTTTTTGTAATTAACAGGGTAAAAGCGAATTACCTTCTAGACTTATTAAAACATTGACCCGAAGGTCTGTTCTTTGGGTTTGGGCTCTTATTCATATATCACACAGGCTTGGGGGCCTGATTCTTAATGGGCTTCGGCTCGTTGATATGGGCTTAGTCATATAAACTGTCAAAGTCTGCCCTGGACCCAGAGGATGGGTCCCACTAGCCACCAGAGGATGGGACCCACTACCAACATTTCACAGAACAGATATGCTATCCACACATCCTATTTTACTTCTCACACATCATTTATTAATTTCTGTTCGTTGATCTTCTTCAATTTATCCAATCCAACGGTCGAAAATTAGAAAAATGTGTGAGAAGTAAAAAAGAGTGTGTGGACACCCTTCCCAGAATATCTTAGGATCTTTGTCCCATTCACTTCGTATGCCATACGCGGTTACGTGCTCCATCTCAAGGTTCTTCCTTCAACTATTCAACCTCTGTAAAAACCCAATTTTCAAATCTTCTTGTTTCCTTCCCCTCCCTCCATCTCTCTCTCTCTCCTCTTTCTCTCTCTACAGTTACTTCACTCGCACGCAACACTTCCTCTTGAAACCAAGGCCTAAGAGGTTACTGTTCCATTACGGTTTTCTCCTTCGCACGCCAAGAAACACATTTTCCTTTTCTGGCAGATTTCACTTTCCTCGTATATTATCTCCCTCGATTTTTCACATATACCCACAAAATCTTCTTCGATCTTCTCCAATACCCAGAATCTAATTTCCCCAAATTCATACAAATTCGAAGTCTTTCTCCACCGACCACCATGAACTTTTTGAAAATTTTCCTTCTTTTTTCCCTGCTTCCGGTTGCGTTTTCTCACGAGACCTTCGACTCCCGCCTCCTGCCGCGGCCGTTGATCCTCGAATACCCGGACATCGCCGAGACCCACTTCAATGATTTGGAGAATGAGCTCAGATTACACTGCGACAGCTGGAGATTTTCTGTAGAGGCAAACAATGTCAATCCCTGGAAAACAATCCCGGAGGAGTGTGCCGGGTATGTCAAGGATTACTTGACGGGTCGGGCTTACGCATACGATCTCGAAAGGGTGTCTAAGGAGGCTGGGGTTTATGCCAAGAGTGTTGAATTGAATGGCGACGGGAAGGATGTGTGGATTTTCGACATTGATGACACTTTGCTTTCCAACCTTCCCTATTATGCTGACCATGGTTATGGGTATGACTCCTCAACTTCCCCTTTGAGAAATTTAAATTTTGTTTGGTTTATTAGAAAGTGTAGCAAATTATTAATTTTCATTGTTCTAACTTGTTAATACTAGAAATTCATTCAGACTCTTCAATTCAACAAATTGAATTAGTTGAATGTTGAATGAAAATTCTTATTACGAAAATTTGAATTGAGAGTTGTAGAAGGCGGTTTTATAGCCGAGAATTCGAAAGTAAATTGGAATGTAGGAACTTGGAACACTGATAGTATATTGAATCTATCAACTAGAAAGGTTTATGTTGTTAAAAAAGTATATATAACCAGAATCCCGTTTTCTAAATTTCATTGAATTTTATCATGATCTGTTGGTTTGGGTTTTTCGTTTTTTGATGACATATTTATGTTCTGATGTGGATATTCCGATATTGTGTGTAATTTTGTAGCTTGGAGGTGTTTGACACGGTGGAGTTTGATAAGTGGGTTGAGAAGGCCATGGCACCTGCTATAAAGTCCAGCTTGAAACTCTATGAAGAGGTCTTGAGTTTGGGATTTAAGGTTTTCTTGCTCACGGGGCGCACCGAAGGGAAAAGGAAGGTTACTGTTGAGAATCTGAACAATGCAGGATTCCAAGAATGGCATAAGCTTATTTTGAGGTGAGTACGAACGTCGCTTATGAATTGATATGGAACTGAATTGTTGTATTGCATCTTTTGCATTTGACTGTTTTAGCATGAGTAACCGTTGTAGTTTTGAAGAAATGTTATGTTGCCTGTCTTGTTGCTGTAACAGTGGGTAGGAGTGGGACATGTGAAAACTAAGAACAATGCAGGATCGTGACTGTTAAAAAATAGACAAACTTTATAGTTTATAGGCTTATAGCATTAGCATGAATAGTCGTTTTTCTTTTCATCATTCAGGCTGCTCTCGGTGGAGTAGAATAGATGAAGTGTTCAATTTCTTCCATGGTCTTTTTGTTATAATGTCGATTCGTCCTTCCATCCTTTTTCCATTATTGCAGTTACCTGGGGTGGGGTACCAATCCGTCACTTTCTTGCATAATTACTTAGAAATAGAAATTGTTGATGCATAAAATCAGTGAGACTTTAGAACAACATAAAGTGTCAAGTTTGTGACCTTCGTTCGGTTGCTCCAGTCACTGGTGAGGATAAATATGTAAAGAGATAGAGATAGGGGAGCAAACACAAGATGTACGTGGTTCGTCCTAAGTTTGGCTACGTCCACGGAGTAGATGAGTTCTCATTAATAGTGAAGGGTTTACACAAATATATAGGTTCAAGCATAATCATCATTAGTGAGTTCTAATGACTAGTTTAAGTACAGTAATGACATTAGGGATTAATTGTAGGAGAATGGTCTCCTTTTATAGTTGAGGAAAGTCTTTAGCTTTTGTCCTCGATCGATGTGAGACTCTATGAGTTTTATTATGACGTTGACTTGTGTCGCACTGTGATTGGCCTCCTGGTTGGAGGGAAACTCCTGTGCTTCGGCAAAGGTGCCTTAACATGAACCCCTTAGTGGGTCCTTGAAGGTATGACGTTGACCGGTGCTCGGTAGTTTCGGGATTGGTCAAGTATGGTACAAACAAAAATTATTGAAATGGAAGAATGTTGGTTCAATCAGATGAAAATATGATTTAGTTTTTAGTTGTGTCCTGCACGTACGCATATACGTTATCACACATCACTTTAAGGACACACCTCCCCTATGGGCGTGTTATCTAAAGATGAAACGATGGCTTTAACTGTTTTGAATTTTGTTTGATAATTAGACCCAATCGCTTTGTTAGGGGTGGTCGGTGCACGGTTTGATGATTTCATCCTGGTTTCCGGATGTTTAGTTTCCTTCTTGTAAATCTGTAAATATCATTGCATCATGTGTTTTTCACGTCATCCTATCGCTGGTATTCGTCAATTGAGTAAACAAATTAATGACACTGTTATTTGATGATTATGTCTGATTAGAGAACGTAAACTCGAAGCTTTCTTTTTAAGACAATGCTCATTATTTATGCTATCATAAAGATTCTGACCTTAGGTCATTGTGCTACTTTAGGTCCTTGTACCAGCTTCCTAATGGCCATCGAAATTCTGAATCCTATGTTTTATGTACTGTGCAGGTCCGCTGATGACCACGAGAAATTGGCGATAATTTACAAGTCCGAAAAGAGGAGTGAGATGGAAAAGGAGGGATACAGACTACTTGGGAATTCCGGAGACCAGTGGAGTGATTTACTTGGTACCTCAGTCGGCCTCCGCTCGTTCAAGCTTCCAAATCCTATGTATTACATTCCGTGATAGGGCAGGCATCGTTCGTTTCGAAACTCGTACCGATGAATGCGAATCAAGCTGTCTTAGAATTTTTGTGCAGCTTGTACTGATTTAATTCATGATGCCATACACAAATAATACAGTGAATTGTTCATATCAAACTGAATCGTGTATAGAGAGAAAATTGTGATGTAGTTCTTTGGATGCTTGGAATTGTAAAGGGCCACTTTTATGAGTACTTGTCTCCTGAGTTGTATTATTATGAAAGCGCTTTTAAAAAAAAATGTTTATGGGTATCAAAAGCACTATGTGCTTATTGCCGGAAGCACTTCAAGTCTTTTCATATGATTCACCAGTAGTTTTATTACGGACTTGTTCCAAAAGTATTTATACCAAAAACGATTTAATCATTTTAAAAGCATTTTCAAACGAGTTCATTATTCATATGTTTTGGTCCTCCACATGACGTAGTATTAGAGGTCTGAGAAGCCATTGTGACGGCAAATTGGTTCAATGAAAGTCCTCCCTCCGTAGATCGCACCATTCCCTACCGCTAACAAAGCGGATCCTCCTCCTAGTCCGCCCGTTTTAATCAAACCCGGTCCGGGTTCAACTATTCGGTCCCTCATAGCAGCTGAAAAAGAATTTGCACACGTATTCAATAAGGGAATTTGAATTTAGAATCCTATATATTCTCAAATTATGTTAGTTCATCGTTCATTGTATAATAAAAAATTATTTTATATACTTTTATTTAAAATTAAACATGAACAATATCTGTCAAAAACTGATTAACGGACACGATTTAAAGATCTTCAGAATTCTCACAATGAAAATGGGAAATTTGGAAAAATAACCAAATTTTAATTTTATGATAATTATAACCAAAATTTGATGTAAAAGTACTAATATACCCTTAATATTAGGGTTTCTCATAACAACCAAAACAAACATTTAAACCATCTTAAAATGAGAAATTAATCTTCATCACTTTTTTGTTTTCACTATTCACTTTGCATATGCAATTTCGTATTCTTTCTTCATCTACTGGAAAAATATATCGGAATGTATGTAATTTAGTCAATGAAACACTAAATCCAAGAATCTAATTAAAAAAATAATAATTAGCCATGGAATTAGTACCTTCTTAAGAACATTCTCATAATTTGTCCTACTAACTAAAGAGAAAACTAATTCAGTGGCCTCAATCTGCAGTAATCCTCAACATTTTAAGGTAGTTAAAAGGTTATGTTGTGATTGTTATGAGAAACCCTAATATTAAGGGTATATTAATACTTTTACATAAAATTTTGACTATAATTATCATAAAACTAGAATAATGATTATAATTCTATATGAGATCTAAAATTTGGTTATTTTTCTAAATTTTCCAATGAAAATCCGAGGTTAGGCGCATTCTTAACTTAATCGTCCAATAAATGTCGTACACGTATCCGTAGAGTCTGACTTTTTCTTTGACGAAACATCGTGTCTCACGTGGTGGGGAGATCCTACGCGTTTGATTTTGATGAAGAATCTGGGCCCCAAAAACACCACATACTAGTCTTCCGAAAAGAAAAAACAAACACCACATACTTTGGTGATGGGGGCCACCGAACAACGCATCAATCCCTGCCGTTAATTAACAAATAGTCTCCAACCGCCGCTTAACCTTCATTAGCTACAAACTAATAATGAGCAAGATCCTAATCTGTATCTTTGACCCCAAAAAAAATAAAAAATCCAGTACGTATTTATTGTAGCGTTCTACTACAATGATAAATTATTAAGTTGAAAAAAGTTTACGTGTGTCAATGTATTATTGGACTGAAACACTATGTAACGGTGAACATATTTCATATAAATTAGTCTTCATAAATATTGTAGAAAACTTAATAAAATAGGCTATTGTGGTATCAAAAAAACCATAAGATTTCCTTCTGCGCTAAGTTATTGACGTGTACTTAAATTAACCTAAATAATAGATTAATTTTAACTAATTTTTACTCGTAAACGCACGACTCAATTGTAGTAAAAATATGCACGTAAGATGTTGATTCTACGAGGATTGCGTTAAAATCAATTAAACGTAAAGTTACGCCAAACTTAACTAAACAAATGAGTGATTGAATTTAAGGATTGGTCAAAACTAAAATTAACAAACGAATGAAAAAGTAACAAAGCAAAAGACAACGATGAAAACGAGTTTTGGAGATTAAGATGTGAAGACACTAGGACACCGAATTTACGGCTAATAATCCAATCTTTTTTTCTTTTTCTTTTTTGAACAAGGCTAATAATCCAATCTAGCTTCTCAACTACTATCCGTTGATTAATCCAATTGATGTTGTTGATTAGTATTCCTTATGCATAAACTTAGGGCACTCTATTTATACTAGAAATTTCGAAAAGGTCTCGTAAAAACCCTCCTAAAAAGAAACAAAAACTTCAACAACATCAGCACAAACAAGTGAAGAATCATCACACACAAATTGGGAAAGAATCATTCTTCACTTGGGAAACACTTAAGTTACTTTGCACGCCAAATTACGGTCGTTCCACCTTCTAGAAAATTCAAAAAAAATAGGAAACTTGTATCTGTATCTTATATTTCCAAGCATATATGTCACATCACCATAAAAAATTGCGAAAGCCTTCAAATCTTCAATCTCCTACAAGTGCGCAATTATGATAGGAATGTAATTTTCGCGGTAATGATTTGCAAAATTGAAATGTTTGGCTTCATGAAAAATATATGAAATTCAAAAAAAATGATCTTCAACTCTTAGTTTCCTTCGCCAATTGGTCATGCATTAAAACTCCTCTAAAAAGTCAATTATCATAAAAAACGTCTTTAGTGCACAATGTGGCTAAATTGAGAAAAGAAAAATAATAAGGCTCTTTTAAGACCAATCCTTTAACAAAACCAAAGGATAATTGACATGAAAATATAGACAATAATACACCTATCAGTTATTCCACTGTTTTGGTGTACAAACGTACCAAACTAATTCAAAAGCAAATAAAGTTCATCTAATCTATAGGTCATGTGTCAATATTGTTTTTCTTTTTTAATATTATTAAATTACAATAATTGAACAAATATGGATCTGAAAAAGGTTTCCAATTTCTTACTCTCCCCAATATTTTAATTAAATGACAATAACCTTGTAGCTTGTTTGTTAAATGTGAACAAAATGCCAAAATTTGCTTCCAAAGCAAGGAAAATTAAAATACTCGTATTTTGTATTTTGTAACGATTTTGCAGCTAAAAATTTAATACCATAGTTGATGTGACATCTCTCATTCCTTGACCCCTTCACATTTTTAATCATCAATACCAATTTTAGGCAAGTGATGTAATAAAATCGAACACAATAGTTCAGATGCAAATATAAGTTGTTTTTCACACTCTTTGAATACATACTCTTTACTTCAAAACGTATAACCTCGAATATTTACAGATGTAACATTCTTAAACGCTTTAAATGCAGAACATTTGCTTTAAGAAAAGAAAGAAAAGAACCACTTTTTACAAAGGCAACTACTTTTTGTCTCCAGCTTCTAAGTCTCACTATTCCTTCCTTCCATTAGCACATCAATCAGAAAAAGACACAAGGTCCATGCAAAAATGCAATGTGGAATATTGATTTGGTGGCAAAAGTGAACTTTCACACACTCAAAGCACAAAAACAAAGAGTCAAAAACAGGTGCAACATCACATGGCTTAGATCTGTCCTCCAAGTTTTCTGCCATACCATATTAGCTCATCTTCTCATCTCCCTTCTCCAACTCCATCGCCTCTCTCTCTCTCTCCTCTCCCTCTCTCTCTCTCAACTCTCCACCCAAAAGTACAATTGTATCCCAAACCTCTTGACTCCTACTTGCATTTAAATTTTTCCCCATGAAAGTTATGCACACCTGCAATCTGTTTATCATCTTCTCAACTCCCCACATCAAAACCAGATCCCTCAATTGGGTTTTCCTCCAATGTTTCACATGAAGAAATTGCTTTTTTTTACACAATGAACAGAACCCAGGTGCTAAATTTGATTCTTGCACTGACTTCATCAGCAACTTTGGTGTTTTTCCTACTTTTCATCTTTTACTGCAAGAAAGCTGCAAAGAGTGAGCAAAAGGATGTGGAAAAAACAGAGCAGAAGCAAGAGGAAGTTGTGGAGGCAGATGAGCTGGTGACTTTTCAGGATGGGGAGGACTTAACAATCTGTGACATTCTGGATGCCCCAGGGGAAGTGATTGGAAAATCGAACTACGGTACGCTGTATAAGGCGCTGTTGCAGAGCAGCAACTCGGTGAAGTTGCTGAGGTTTTTGAGGCCTGTTTGCACTGCAAAAGTTCAAGATTTTGGTGAAGTTGTTCGGCTTTTGGGGTGCATAAGGCATCATAATTTGGTGCCTCTTTTGGGATTTTATGCAGGGCCGAGAGGTGAGAAGCTTTTGATTCATCCGTTTTATTGGCGCGGTAATCTGGCTCAGTTTGTGAGAGGTGATGATTCTAATTTCTCTTTCCTCGTTTGATCAGTTTGTGTTTTGTTCTGTTTGGTTGCCGGGAAAATCCCCAAGAATATGAAAAGAAAGAAACTTGAATCTCTTTTTTTGTTTGGTTTATGAGGATTTTGTGTGTTTGCCATTGTGCTTCAAAAGAATCAAATAAAAAAGTTTTGGCTTGAAAAAACCTGTTCTGTTTTTCGAGTCTGGATTGCTTCTGCTTTCGACTATTCTGTTTTCTCTGCATAATTTTGATCTCCTTTATGTATGTTGTATAACCATATTTGGTTTCTTTCCTTCTTAATATATATATATATATATATTGCTTGTTGGAATGAAACTTCCGGATGTCATTATAGCGGAATTCCAAGCCGATACACACTTTCAGTCGTTTTAACTTTCCATATGTGACATTGCGTGATTAAATTAGGATACCGCAAAATGACATCTCTATCTTTTCTTATCATTGCCAAATTTAGAGATGTTCTCTTAGAAGTTGTCTTTGCCTCTATATTTTTAGCTCCCATTAACTATAAATTGACAGACAATCTTTGCTTTCAATGGCAGAAAGCAACCCTGACTCTCACAAATGGCTCATAATCTATAAGATCTCAGTTGGTATAGCCGAAGGCTTGGATCAACTTCACACCGGCTTTGAAAAGCCGATAATTCACGGAAATCTCAAGTCGAAAAACGTACTCTTGGGTCACCATTATCGCCCTTTCATATCCGACTTCAGCCTCCATCTTCTGCTGAATCCAACTGCTGGCCATGAAATGCTTGAAGTCTCGGC